AATAAACAAGAGCTCCGCCTCGGCAAGTGAAGTGGAGTGGAGTGGATTGGCCCCAAAAAACAAGAAAAAAAAAGAAGAACCCAAACAGAAAACCGAGTCAGAAACGGAAAATAAAAGGGGGCCTTGGGGCAATCTTTGGATGCAGCGATCAAATGCTCATCAGCGCACTTGAAAAATAATGCGTTTGCCGTTTAAGACAAAGAGAAAATAAGAGCCAAAGACGCACTGCAGTTATATCTGCGGCTGTGGCTGTATCTGTATCTGTATCTGTATCTGCTGCTAGTACAAGAACGAGTGCGCTACGAGTATGTATCTTTTTTGTACATTTTCGAGGCATTTTCATAGCTGGCTGTGTTTTTCGTTGGCTTGTTTGTTTAGTTTTCGAGGCACACACAGATACGCACGCAGACACTCGCACGCAATGTTGCAGGTGGGAACAGGTTTTTGGTTTGGTCTTTAGTTTTCGTTTTTCGGTTTCGTGAATGTCTGCATGTGTGTGTTTGGATGCGGGCCATATCTCTTTTGGCCTTAGCCAGCAAACTGGCAACAACTTGCTTGCGTTATTTATGCCCCACTGTGTGGCCGTAATTACGAATTTCGTATTTCCTGCTGGAAAGAATCCACGGGCATGTGTATCTCTCTGCTCATCTAAGCAGCCTAGGCCCACGCACATGTGTCCTCCGGCTGGTTATCAAGTTCCCAGTAAGAGGCCACTGCCCAGTAAGTGCGTAAGTGGACAGCGGCGCAAGTGGTGCTCTTCAAAGAAGCCTCCTCCTCATCCTCCTGCTTTTGCGAAAAAGCGCCTGCTGCGCCCATGCCAGTCACGTACAACTGCAACATGTTGCCCGGCAATATGGCCGATCCTATCGATCCTATGGTTATATACTAGAAAGTGCGTTAGTTCCTTGGTTACGGCGGTACGGGCCTAGAACGAATGGGAATTACCCTCGACGACTGACTGACTGGCTGCTCCTCACGCTTGGCTGCCCTCGTATATAAAATTTAGCCAAGAGCCACTTTTCCGAGTGGTGGTTAGCATTCGCCACAAATGGCGCGATGTAATGGCATTTCTAATATGGACACATTAATGGCCCCGGGACACACAGGTGAGAGAGGGAAGAGAGGGAGGGGCACATGGAGTTCGACGGGACGAAATTGCTAAATTTCAAAATTAACAACCAGAAACAGCTGGGGTAAAAATAATAGTTCTTTAAAAACCACATGTTTATAGAACAGACTAGGAAAATAAATGGTTATTTTTAATATGAGCTACGTACTATTGGATAATTCTATTTATTCTTTGTTTAATTTGGGTGTTTGTTTATGATTCATTATTGTTATTGTATTTAAAAAAGGGATATGGAAAATTTATAAATATTTTGGAAATTATAAATAGAAAAGCATTCATGTTAAGCGATTTAAGATCTATTTTTGAATACGAAAATAAACTAAACTTCAACTCATTTGCAGCTCTTTTAAGAACAATGATTAATTTATATCTATCCCATTGTTTTAACTTTAATTTGTATTATTTCCAACCAGTTTCTGTGTTTTTTGGTACTCTACTACTTTAATGAGTTTTTTCTAATGGATTTTAAATGAATTTAAGCCACACAATTATACACATTCTAAAGAAATGTATTAACTAAAGGTGTGAATTTTGCAATATCTGAATCTGAAATATCTTCTTTTTTTCGCTATAAATTTAGGTGCCTTTCAGCTCTATTATTTCGCCCAGAGTTGTTGCACATATGCAGAAGCCAGCGAGTGCTGCTGCTCTTGTTTTTCCCGGGCTTCATACCTGAGCAATTAGTGCGACGTTTTCACTGCACATGCAGTAGCCCAAAGAGCAGCAGCAGCGGCAGCAGCTGCTGTTCGCCTCGCCACTTGGGCAGCTGACAAGGAGCTGAAGGGGCAGAGCTCTTTGCAAAATGACAGCTGACAATGGATTGCCACGTTCTGCCCCTCGTACTGAAAAGAGGCAGCGGCTAAGTGCACAATAATAATAATAACAACGAACAGAGCCAGAGCCAAGCTGCAAAAAGCTGCAGTCAGCGTCGCCAGACTGGCGTCGAGATTTCATAAAATTATTGAACGTTTTCAGGCGAATAACAAAATTCAGAGTGCCAGCAAAAAGGCGATAAACTGCAAGAGAAGCAATATGGATAGCTGGGCGAGAGATTACCCAATGGAAAATCGGCTTTTCGCATATCAAGCAGTTTGACAGCCACTGCAGATAACCTGTTGCTGCTGCCTGCCTGCCACAATTGCCATTTACCAGTTGCCACACAAATGGCCATTCGTGTTGGCCGGTATTTAACACAAGGTCGCGAAAACAATGAGCCAAACGACTTTAGACCGCTTATCTAAGCGCTCCCACTCAGCTCCTCAGCTCCTCGGTAATTGTAGAAGCCTCTGCTGGACGCCGCCAAGAAGCTAATTGCATGGACAGGCACAGCCGACGACCCAGCCAGCTCCACCCACAAATTCAACTCTGAATAAGAGCATAAGGGCAAGGGGAGCTTACTGCAGAGGCGACAAAGTAAACAAGGTGTTAATTTCCACTGCCGCACTCTGTATTATTCCCTCGTTTCCTTTTCAATTGGAGATGCACTGGTCAAAGGGTATGGTGATTATACTTGTCAGTTTGTCACCATAAAATCCAGAGGCATTAAAGTAAAATAAAAATATGCAATTTTAAACAGATATCTCTTTTTAATTAAAATGAATTTAATTATAAAAAGATAACAAGCTTTGCTGTTTTTATACAGTTATCTTTATAATTAAATTTCTTTGTAATTAAAACTGAGTCTGCCTACATGGCTTTTAGGAGCTTTCTTATATTTTTGCGCTTTTTCTCTATACAAATTTTTTAGAAAAGATATTCGTGACAAATAAAGAAGTATGCAAAACGTAGGTTTGGAAAGAAAAAAACACAGATTATTCTTTATAAAGAAAGCTTTATGACCTGTATAAACCAACAAAAGAATCATTTATTGTATTCAAGAGGACAGAATTTGAAAATTGACAACGAAACGCAAACATTTTCAATGGAAAAATAGAAAACTTCCAAGAGAAGCAATTAAATTAAATTAAAATTTAAGCAATGATGAAAAAATACAAAATTCCTACACATAATTAATGTGCTGAATCTCATTGCGCCACATATTATTCAACATTTTCAATAAAACTCTTTGCTATGCACTTTTGTTTAGAGTATAAGGGGCCCTCCTTTACAGCTTTCAATTATACTCTTTTTTTTCTCTCCTCCCTTTTGCGCCTTTGCAAATTGAATTCCCTCGCGAGCTGCGAAAGCAGATAAGATTGGAGCACGTTCGTCGGCCCCACTCCCCACTCCCCGTTCCCTGCTCCCAGACAGCCACCCACACAGAAGCAGGGACACGCATACAAAGCGGGAGCAGCAGCAGATGACAGGCGATAAGCACAAGCCGCTTGTGATAACGCACTTGACTTTGTCGCGAATCGTGCGGGGAATACGCGCTGCTCCCACTCGACGCGGATGGGATTACTCCCCGGATTAGTAAAGCGTTGGATGATGATGGATGTACTTACGAACTGTGACCGTTTTCGGGTCGTAGGCACAGACGCGTCGCTCCACTGCCGCAATTTTGCGCTGCACGCGGCCCGCCCGCTCGCCCACCGCCTGCAGGTCCCGCTGCAGGTCGTCAAAGATGTCGCTGGCAATGAGCACCAGGCTGGCCAGCTGCCGCAGGGCGTTACTCAGCGTAATGTTGCTGATCGAGTCGAACTCGTGACCGGACACCACTTTAGAGGAGCCAGCGGTGGGCGATTGCGGGGCACTGGCGATCCGGGCCAGTGCTGGCCGCTGCTGGCTGGGATGCCGCGAGTTGGGCAGGGACTGCGATTGGTGGCGCGTAGGGGATGTGGACAGGAACTCGACGTGGTGCTTCAGTTTCTTCATGGGCGCCGGTGCTGGAGGCAGGGGCTGCTGCTGCAGCTGCTCATCCTCCCCATTGTGGCTGTGGTGCACCAGGACCCGGGTAAGCGAGCTGGGCGAGCCATCTGCGTCCCCGTCTGGCGACTGCTTGTTGATGCAATTGTTGTTCCGGCACTTGCCCGGCGTGCAGTGAAAGCGGCCGGCGGCATGGCCCAAGCTGGCCGCCGTGGCCTGGGCCACATTGACGGGCTGCACCACGCGCTGGACGAAGGGCATCTCTCTGGGTCGGCCGGTCACTAGCTTCTCCTCATCCGCTCAGCCTCGCTACCGCTAGCCGGCACCAAACAAAAAATAGTGATAATCCAAGCTAAACACACACGCACACACAGACGCCGAGTCGTCGGGCTGACCAAAAACTGGTCGGACAACTTCTGGACTTGAATCCTCCGCGGTCGCAGCCTCCACTAGCTATTGTCTCCCGATTTCGGCATAAATTCCTTTGCCCGGTTCTCACGCACGCACGTAAACACACACACAAACAGGTTTATTGCAATGGGATTCCACGTCGGCTACTGCCCAGCCTCGTACATCGCGCCGCGCACAGAATATTGCCAGGTGATTAGAGCGATATTATGGGGCCCGGCCGCCACCGTTACGCGTCGTTCGAAAGGTGATTTGCCGGCTTAAAGAATTGCGGTCCGTACTCGCACGTCGTGTTTTGCCGGTTTACTAAACTTTCTGCTAGAGGTGGTGAAACTTCGATAGTATCGAGTCGATAACAACATCGATGTCTTCGTAAAATACCATATTTCAGGCATTTTTAGTCATTTGGAGTGAAAAACTTGCGCTGGTAACACTGGGATAATTTAAAACTTTTCGGCGTACCTAATTTGATTAGATACGCTTTATAAAGGCCGATTTGTTTACCCCTGCTGTCCTTAATACCAGAATTCTCTATTCAAAACAGTATATTAGTTGAATATCTGAATTTGTAGAATTCTAAGTTAAATACCATCAATTACTGTTGTGGTTGCGCTCTACCAGAAAAGCCTCTCAATCGAAAATAGTTTAAAACACATGATTAAATTGCAAGTATTAGTCTTTTTATGGTATTAATTAATAGTATTACTGAAATAACAAATGTTTTAGGGACACAATTTCGTAAAAAGAACATAATATTAACTATACATATACAGGGTCCCCAAAACTAGTTAAAATTATGCTCACATAGCAAATTGTTTTTGTAAACTGTGCTCTAAAGGTAGAATACTAATGTAAAGTATAATAATTCAAATCAATAGGGCTCAATTCTCCTTTTCCTTTGAATTTCGCATATAGCTCTGGACATAGAAGTTGGTGAACATGATGAACATGATCGCGGCGGAGCAGCTGAACAAAAAGGTCAATCCCTGTGATTTCTGGCAGTTGGGCTGGGCGGCAGTGTAGGCACAATGGGCGAACATCAGGATGAACTGCACCATCTGGAGCACGGTGAGATAGCGCTTCCAGGGCACAGGCATGCCAGCAATAGAACAGTAATAGTAGCAGTACATCACCACGTGCACGAAAACGTTGAAGAAGCAAAGGAGAAACAGGTGGCCTCCATAGCCGTGAAAACGAATGATAAAGTATCCCATAGTCGGCATCAGGACATGGTGAAACACATGCAGATAGGTTATCTGACGGTACTTCTTGCGCAGGACAATGAAAAAAGTGTCCAGCAGGTCCACGATCTTGTTGATGTAGTAAGCGTAACCAATGGTGCGTTCCCAGTCCTTCAGGGGGTGACCCTGAGGCAGAACTTTCATGCAGCTAAAATTATACGGCCGGAACACAAACAGGAAATAGAATCCCTATGGTAAAATCAGATTAGGTACCTTGACTGTAGTCTGCGACTCTGGACTTACCGGCAAGAGCATCGCTATGTTGTATAATATCTGAAACAAGTTGTACCACTTGAGAACTCCATTTAGCTTATAGGGTTCCCGGTGCTCCATGAACTTCCTGCCGGCCTTGAAAACCACCAGCAAGTAGCCTACGACAATAGTTAAAATTGGGCCGGGTCCTGTGGCCAACGGGAGCTGCTTGGAATCGGCATAGGGAGTCCGGAATATTTCCAACATTTTGTCAGCTCGGAATATGTTTTTACTGTAAACTATTGATGCTAATACCTGCTCTCTTCTTTACTTTTGACTGACATTAAAAGCAAGGCTTGTTATAAAGTAAAGGACGTTTCGCAACGAACATCTTTTTTAACGGATTTTGATTTCAAACTCCATTAGGGACACTCTTTACATGATGATTATTTTGTTTGCCACGGTCACACTGTGCATATGCAGCAAAACGCGCGCGTAGCCGGCAATTGGTAAATATTGCAATAAATCGCGAAACTTAAAAGAAAATACGCTTAAGACCCGTGGAAGAGCAGCCCAACGATGTCCGCCAGCTCCTCCAGCAACGCCTGCAAGCTGCTATTGCTTGGCCGCTGCTTGCGCGCCATACTCCTAAGCGTGGGCATCCAGTTCCTCCTGCTGACTGTCTTCCTGCTGTCGGTAAACTTCCAGCTACTGCATCCGCTCGCCTGGGTGACAGGAACGCTAGGTCTGGTGGCCAGCTGGTACACGTGGTTTGCCAGCATCCCGCTGTTGGGCGCCGTCGTTCTCTACGGTGTCTCACTTTGTCAGCAGCACCTCTCAGAGCGTCCGTACTGCCCCACACGCTACCGCTGGCTCCTGCACTATGGACCGCGCAAGCTGCTTTTTTTGAGCGCTCATATCTTGGTTGGATTCCTTACCGCATGGCTTTACACGGGATATCTGCACACGGACTATCAGTAAGTGTATATGGACACATGGAATAACGTACAAACTACTAATCTTTTAACCTGCAGGCACCTTCGATACAAATGCTACGGCCAAGACTGTGTGAGCGCCTACCATGTGTATCTGCTGGGCATGGGCATAACCGCCGGAAGCTACTACTTCGCCTCCGTCCACATGCGCCAGGAGGTCTCCATTGAGTTCCCCATTGTCGAACAGTCTCGCGGCGAGAGGCTACGTGAACTCCTATACGCCAGCCTAGCTAGATCCCTGTTAAGATCGCTGCTGCCCGCAATTAGCTATACCATAGTATTTTGGCTAATCGGACCCCTGGTGTGCCGCAAACTGAGCCACTTCCTCTCTGTGGACCTGGACGAGCGACTGGATGGTTTCTTCGGTGTGGCCACCAATGTCCGTCTGCTCTTCTATGGCTGGCTGCTAACTGCCCAAATTCTGAGCAATATGCACCTCATGCGTTCTTTCTATGGCATGCTGCTGTCGGAGGACATTCCCCTGGTAGTGGCCAAACAGCGAGCGGCCTTCGTCCAAGAACAAGAGGTTACCGTAGTGGCGGGACTTGGCGTTTTCAACGTTTACGTAGTACAATGCCTAGCCGCTCACTACTTGTACAAGTTGGCCTTGCGCAAGGATTCCACACAGCGCACCGAAATATTCCAGCTCACGGAGCCGGGCAACCGGCCGGCAAACTGGCGTGCACTCTGCGACCAGTGCCTAAGCATCCTGGGCAGCTTCACCGAAGAACTAACAGAGTCTTTGCAGAAGATCAGTGTGCTTAAGGGCGCCCAAAGCCTGCCTGTACCACCCAAAACCATCGAGTCCACTAATGCCAGCTTGATGGCCGAGAAGTTGCTCCTGCGGCAGTACAATCAGATGCATGGCATCCGACCAATTGTGTTGCCCACACAGGAAACTGGAGTCGAGCGGCCGGCCGATGGTATTCGCCATGTGCCCAACTGGTGTGAGCGCGTATCCACTCAGATAGAGGGAGTGTTTCAGCGACTGTTGAAGCGAGTGCCAGGCATCGTATACTTCTTTAATGAGCAGGAGGGAGCCAAAGCAGCCTACCTGCTAACCAATTCGCTGCCTGTAGTTTATATATCGCAGGCTTTGGCACAGGTTTGCGTGGCCTCACTCAAGGAGGATCGATATGGAGTGGTCCAGAACGACCTAGCGGCCATCATCAAGGCATTGAACAAGCTTCAAGGCGAGCTGCAGAAGTTGGGCAGTGTGATAGGAAGCCTGCGGGCACCCAGCACCACATTTAACGTCCTTCATTGCGCTGTGCGCCGTAGCTTGTACAATATTTGCAACTCTTTCGGCGACTACCTGGGGGATCTGCTGCCGCCCGGCGAAGAGGTGAATCAGCTACAGGATCTGATCTACCAGGAGTAGATCCACCAATTCCCCTTTCATCACACACACTCATTTTGTAACATGTTTTGCATCTCTTCTTTAGTTGTTGTCTTCGGTAACAATAAAAATTTATAAATACAACTACAAATGTACAATAGTTAAATACACCTATTGACTGTTAAACTTATGAAGTACGTAATGAATAACACGCGATTTGATCATAACTAGCACTGATGAAATGGTCTGCAAGATGAATGTGTACAAGCCGCTCTCTCCCCAAAGAGAGAAAAGCACTTACTGTTCCTCCATGGCCACTGCGAACATGAGCAGGGCCACATCCTGCTCCAGCCTTCGGTTGGGTCATACCTCGGCTTTCAATGGCAGTGAGCTTGCAGCGGTGGCTGCTTCGCCAAGCGACTGCTCTAGTTGCACGGCCACCTCGTCCAGGTGCTTAAGTGCCTCCTTTGCCTTGCGATTGCGACCGTCTACGAAGATCTCTGTCTCCAGGTAGTTCAAGGCACGGAAAGCCATGCCACCGAAAGGGTCATAAAAGCCTTCATAGGTCTTTTGGTTTCTGGCACCCGCGCTCTGATCCGGCGTGTTAGGATCAAAGGGGACATACTCCAGAATGGGTTCCTTGTGCCAACGGAAAATGTTTCGGGAATCTGCGGATTAAGCACAGGGAAGCTGTAGAAACCTCAGACTACTTAATTGATTAGTTAGTAATCAACCTAGGTCAGCCAGCACACGCGTCATTTCACGAATCTGGGCATCCTGTCGCTCCAAACGGAAGTTCATCTCCGTCAGCATGTTGGTCAGCTCCATCTTCTCCGCCTGCATCATTTCGTTCTTCTTGTTCTCCTTGATGGTTTGACTAAAGGCAGGCAAGGATTATTACAGCTGAAGTTAATTCAATATTCCCCTTTTACGAACCGTGAGTACTCGAAAATAAGCAGACCGGCTCCGATAGTGAAGATGATGAACTCCCCCAGCAGATTAGCTCCCAGCTCAATGGCCATCGCCTCGTTCAACGGTGGCACATTAACTCGTCCGCCCATGTTCAGGGCCCACATCTTGGTCTTCACCTCCACCCAATTGTAGACTGCAAAGATATGGAGGGGTTTATTCACGAATCCAGCTCTAATCTTCTCTAATCATATCAATTCCCAAATCCAGCACTTACACTGCGCCGGCGGCATGCATATATACTTCCTGAAGAAGGGACTCGACTTGGCGTTGGACTTGATCACATTGGCTATCGGCTTGCTGATCTGTTTGATGGCCAAGACACCAAGCTTGGCCGCCGGGAAGACGCCGATCACCATTGTTTTTTTTAACCAAAAATTATTACAAAATATGCATGCAGTGTGACCGTAGCCCGAGCTTTCGAATATACCAAAGCTTTGACAAAAAATGCGTTAGAGCGCGTATAATATTTAAATTTCTCGATTCATTTTGAATCTACTGAACCTTGTAGCAAACAAAATTTTAGTTAAAAAAATATATTTTTGATTATAAGAGAGGTAACTGAACCGAAGGGAGGTAAATGAACCCAAGGGATAACAACAATTTCACATAACTTATTATCTTTGATAGCCATCAAAAGCTGCCTTAATATAGGAAATATCTTTATCTTGCTGCTCAATATGTGCACTAATGCCGTCCAGCTGATCAAACATAATTTTGTTCTGCTCCTTCTGCTTCTGGTCCTTCTTCTGTGTCTTTAAATGCTGCCTGAAACAAAAGAACTGAATTGAAACCGAGCGAACCAATGAACTCGGTTGCGTCCAACCGGGAAACTTCATGGTAGATAAATCCCAGACCAATGACCACCACAATGACTTCGCTAAGAATGTCAGAGCCCAGTTTGATGGCCATAGCGGGAGGAAGAGGCGGAACCCTCCTTGGCTGCTTCAGTCGCAGCATCCTTATCTTCCACCGGACCTCTAATTTGTTGTAGAACTGCGCCGGCGGGATAACGACATAGCGACAAACGTGGGGATTGTGTTTACCGGCCCACAATAGAAGATTTCCGATGGGTTTGCTGACCCGCTTGAAACCATATACGATGATTTTCCCCAGTGGAAAGCTCCCGATCACCATTGTCTCGAAACTGAAAATTTTGAACGAAATAACAGGCAACTGACGTTTCGTAGACGACTCGGTTTCAGTTATGTCCAACAGCAATCATACGATCTATCCATGCTGCCAACCATCATCTTTAGCTGCCTAATTTCCATGGTCTGAAAGGCTACCTTCTCGGTTAGGTCGGTAATTTTCGTTTCCAGTTGCTGTTGAACACGGTTTTTTTCTTCCTGCTTAGATTTGTCGTTTCTCCTCTGCCTGAAAATAGAGAATATAATGCATTAAATCCGTTTGTTATATTGATTAGTGTTAATTAAATGTTTACAAACCTGTAAAACTCCGCAGTCAAAAGTAGAGCGCCAATAAGGAATATAGACATCTCTCCCAGCAGGTTTGCTCCCATTTCAATGGACATCGCCGTGTTCAAAGGTGGAACAAAACGCGGTTGTCTCATCCCCAGCATCCACATCTTCGACCGCACAGAGATGTTGTGGTATACTAGAAATTAATGTCCGGCTATCTGAAGGTGGCTAAAATAATCCATATACTCCATATACTCACAAGTGGCTGAAGGGGCGACAACGAGGGTTTTGAAGGGCGGGTTCCTTACAGCTGTACGCTTTATCAGCTTGGTGATGGGTTTGGCAATGTGCTTGATGCCTAATAATCCTAATTTCACCAATGGGAAGGCTCCGACTACCATTCTGAAAGCTGTAGTTACAAAACCTTAAATCATACAATGGCAATGCTAAAGAGGTGGGGTTAAAAGGTTAAGAAATCTTAAAACCTTTATTCTTTTCCTTTTTCAGTTATTTTTCGACCTCAAATCCTTAGAAACCGTTAAAAGCTCTTTTTATTTATATTGCTGTGTAAAATAGTTTATTTTGGCATAAGTTACTCGGCCACACTGCTTAGCCATATGATTTTGAATTTGTTAGAACTTTATTACAATTTATCAACAACAATGTCGTCATCTCAAAGTTCTGATGAAGAAACTGACTTTAAAGTGGTTTCCTCTACTAACTACCAGCGCGTCCAGGATAAAGTATCAAAGGTAAGATACATACATATATCTCAAAATGCCAACTGCCTTTTGAAATCAGCTGGACTCTTGGACTATATCCGAATTAATATACACCCTATCTTCCAGATAAGCTACGCAGATGGCATAGCCGATGGCCGGGAAAAGGTGTTTCAAGACAGCTTTGATCAAGGCTACGAAGACGGCCTTAAAGCGGGTTTAGAACTGGCCAAACTAAGTGCCTTCTATGAAACCCTTCAAGCATCAGGTTCAGAACATGCGGAAGGAGAGGCCTTTAAGAACCTTAAGCTCGCAGCTCCCACAGCCAAGGAGCACTTCAAGTATTTAGAGCACCAGGGAGCACATCTAAGCGTTGTGAGGGATAATCAAAGGACCTACTTGGACGACTTGATAGGACAATGTGCACAGGCTCTCCCAGCTACTACAAATTTATTCGTATCGAGCTCTTCTAGTTAGTGTTAATGTGGTTTAATGCATTTTTTGGGAATTATCAAAATCAACTGAAAATATAGATTTGTATGCGACTTATAAATACAGGCCTTCCGGCGTGCCTTCCTTCTTCCGGTAAAGGACGCTCTCCTTCGACTTCTTGAAGTCCTCATTGGTCACCTTCATGCGGCGCTCACGCAGTGCCATAAGACCCGCCTCTGTGCAAATGGCTTTAATGTCGGCTCCGGAGAGGTCATCCTTAGCCATGATCAGTTCGCTGAGGTTCACGTCCTCGGCCAGGGTCATGCGCGAGGTGTGAATGGTGAAGATGCGGCGTTTGGTCTTCTCGTCGGGCAGCGGGAACTCGATCTTGCGGTCAATACGACCGGGACGAATTAGCGCAGGATCCAGGGTCTCAATACGGTTAGTGGCCATGATCACCTTGACGTCTCCACGCGAATCGAAGCCATCCAACTGGTTGAGCAGCTCCAACATTGTACGTTGGATCTCACGCTCGCCTCCAGAATTCGAATCGTAACGCTTGGTGCCCACGGCGTCGATTTCGTCGATGAACACAATGGAGGGTGCGTGCTCCTCGGCCACGCGGAAGAGCTCTCGCACCAATTTGGGTCCGTCACCCAAGTACTTCTGGATGAGCTCCGAGCCCACCACACGCAGGAACGTCGCCGAGGTTTGGTTGGCCACCGCCTTGGCCAACAGGGTCTTTCCGGTGCCTGGGGGCCGTAGAGGATGACACCCTTGGGCGGTTTGATGCCCATTTCCTCGTAGTACTCGGGATGTGTCAACGGTAGCTCGACGGACTCCTTGATCTCCTGGATCTGAGTGTCGAGTCCACCAATATCCGCGTAAGTCTCTTGCGGAGCCTTCTCCAGCTTCATCACCGTGACCATGGGGTCAGTGTCGTCGCTGAGCACTCCCACCACGGCGTGAACCTTGTGGTTCAGGAGCACGGAGCAACCTGGCTCCAGCTGGTCCTTGTCCACGAAGGACAGAATACTCACATAGTGCTCGGACCCCACAGACGTCGAGACGATGGCGTGGTTGTCGTCGATGATCTCCTCCAGGTTGCCCACGGACATGGGTGTACCTCGCAGGTCGTCCACCTTGGAGCGCTCCTCCTCGTTCTTTTCGTCCTGGGGCTTGAGGCGCTCCTGGTTGCGAATAAACTCGTCCTCCATCATCAGGTAGTCCTTGATCCGCTCCAGCTTCAGCAGCTTCAAGCGGCAGCGCGTGTGGGGCGTCACCTGGGGCAGCTTCATTGCCGCATCTGGACCCTTTGCGCGACGCTTCTTCTTGCCAACACGGGTCGGGATCGGGGGCTCGTACTTCTTCTTTTTGTCCTTGTCATCCTTCTTGTCGCCAGCGCCCCCTTGGGCCGATTGGTTTTGTCCCTGCAAGGAGAGGATTCCCCATTAGCAGTTAGTCGCGGTGTCCCAGTTCCGTCTTACCATTTTGCTTCTGTGCTGCTACTAGTTTCCACAACCGCTTGATAATCTTTCCCGACTTTTTTTTGTCGGCAACACAAAAACAGAATTTCTACTAGTCATAAGCGAAGCAAAGTTGGCTGCGGCTACCTTACCGTATCTGTGAATTGGACGGTCTGGCAGCGCTCCCCACTGCGAAGAGTCATTTGGCAACAGTCTGGCAACGACAGAATTTTTTGTTTATTGTTTCGTTTCTACCGCGAATTACAGAAAATATTTAAATTAATAATCAATGGAGCAGAGAGCCCAGAATATCGATATTAAACTCGACACAGTTGACGTTTTGACTACTGGAACAGCAGCGGAGTTTGTGAACGGCATCCTAGACTTCCTGCTGTTTCAGCGACGCCAGATTCCCTTCGTCTACAAAACCTACAAATATTATGTGGAGAAGTGGTCCGATGCGGAGGAATTTGGGCAAGCAGCGGATCAGGGATCGTTTGCCAACTATCAGCTTAGCCAGCAGCGGTCCAAGGCCAAAGCTACCAAGGAGTCTATTAGCGACATGCGAGAGGTAAGTGTCATCTATCGTTTATTTACCGCACAGAAACAAGCCATTTGTTTACATGCGTTGACCTGCAGCTCATAAGACAAGCCTTCAGGACGTCGGATGTGAAGAGCCTACGGTTTCTGTTTGGCACCAACACCTTTATGCCCTCAGAGGCGTACACCTTGCACATCCCACACGACTCCATATCAAGGTCCCACCATGGCGAGCACCATGCTTTGCCTCAAGGCCGTATCAACCAGGCTCTACTCCGTCTGCTGACCTGCGAGGATCTGTACACACTCTTCTCCACGGAACTGAATGCCACTAATGTGTTCCTGGAACTGGAACTGCTTACCTCCTCGGAGACTCAGCAGGATGCCATTAACATTATACCCAAGCCTGTGCTGAGTTGCCTTCCGCGCAGCTGCAAGAATATACACTTGCACCTCTTGCATAGCAGTGAGAACCCATTGGCAGAATTGCGATGCTGCCAACAGATGGAAATTTTCGAAGATCTAGACCTGCTTAAGCTGGCCAAACCTGAAGGCGACTGCAGTAGAACAAGCGCTTACGCAGAACCATCGTCCAAGGAATCTAGCGGCTGGTGGCAGTCGGGAGTCATAGTTCGTGGATTCAGGACTCAGCCCAATCAAAAAGCAGGCGACTTGTGGACCAGTTAGTATGAATAATACGAATAGTATTTAAGTTAGCCCTCTTTTTTCTAAGTAGACAAACTGTGTGCGAATGCCAAGAATAAAGTGTCAAATTAGTTTCTATGCTGCGTATTTCAGTGTTTTATTTTATTTATATTATATAAGGATGTATAACGTATTCTCTCACAGGGCGTTTGTGTATTTCATATTATATTCAAAGTGTTCATTGTAATTTAAGTGTGGGTTTGTCTTTCATTGAATTATATCGTATCGTATCGTTAATATCGTATGTTTCAGTGAACATATTTCATATCGTATTAGGTGCATGTTTTAGTAAATATGGATTTGTATCGTATCGTATCGTATTTGAGTGGCTTAAAACTATTGATATTAGTTTTTTCTTTTTCTTCCCATCGTATTAAGTGTATATTTTATAAGCTCGTCGTTTTTCGAGCTTTGTAGGTGTATTCAATGAATACATAGAAAGTATTCGCTTCGTTTTATGTTAGTTTGAAAACTGTGTAGCATTCGTACTCATCGTTTGTTAAGCATTTGGAAAGGTGCAAAACTTTTTCATCCTGTCAGTCCCAAGCCGTTGAAGTGGTTATAACGCAGGGCTCCTTGTTGGCGCTACGCTGCTTGACCACAATCTGGTTAGCTATGCGGTCCATATCGCGTTGGCCCTTTGAGGTAAGTTTGCGGCCCCCCTCCGGATGCTTTTCCACCATACGAGCTGCCTCCAGAGCTTGGAGAGCCTGTGAAAAACATAAAGCGGAATTAATTCTGCCTTTTTATGAAGACTTTGGAGTACCTTGCGGATGCACCCATCCGCGGAGCGACAGTAGCGAGACGGATGAGTTCCGTTGCGCTTGCGCCCGCCGTACACCTTGGTAAACGCAGCTACTCCGGACGGACTGCGTATGTACAGATGGCGCATGATGGAGGCGCAGCGCGTATAGAACCAATCATCCTCTGTGGGAGCGGTCTCCTTGAACTTTCCCGTCTTGATGAATTCGGCCTGCACGGGCACCACAAGTTTTCCGGACTTTTTCAGGAAAGACGCCAAAACTTTGGTCACAACGTGCTGGTCTAAATCTTTAACGGTAACGCCCGGCATTTTGCTATGTTTATCATTTAAGATTTTATACACTGATGACACAGATAATCCACGATTAAGTTTTTCTTACCTTTTCGGAGCAAAGAAAGCTTCCAATCAAAATGGCGGGTCTGATCAAAATGGACAGTTAGTAAGTGTGAGTGTGACCAAGCCACTAAGTTCTTATCGATAGTCTACAGGAATTCTCATCGATAGTGACGAAGACTCTTATCGATGTGAACGTTCCGAATAAAATTATACACAATTTAAAAATAATAAAATATAACGTTTTTTTTATTATTTTTTTTAATAAAAGTAACTTATACCCTGTATTATCACTGATTATCTTTCTCCACCAATATTATTTAAAAATGTGGCTAAAAACATAGCACTGCTTTGAGGTATTTTCTCTGCATCAAAATACAGTCATACTATAAAAACAGCCAAACAACAAATAAAAAACCGCTCTACCCGCAAACAAATAAATCGCCTCGACTTGACTCATTTCGGTTGAATTTGTCGCGACTGCAGCATGTCTGAGAAGCCGACTGTTCTGATTTTGGGTGGTAAGTCATTCGGCTGCACAGCCTCCGACAGCGGGGCTGCCCCGCCCCTATTACATCCGCTTATCACCAACTGCATCGCTCTTGTGCCCCGCAGGCTGCGGCTTTATCGGACGCAACTTGGCCACTTATCTGCTGGAGAATGAACTGGCGCAGGAAATACGGATTGCCGATAAGACCCCTCCCCAAATGGCCTGGCTGAACGAGGAGCAGGCGCGGATCTTCGAGAGCGAGCGAGTGGAGTTCTGCAGCGCCAACTTAATAAATGCCGGTAGGTACCATTGCTTGTGTTAGGGTGACTCGCTTCGGGGAGGATATGGTGAAATCTTTGCAAGGTAACCTTTAAATCCCATAAAAGAAAAAAAGAACAGCAATTAATGCTAAGATGGATTAAACCATCTCAGATAGAGAAAACCAAAAATGTACACAAAGATCATCCATGCTCGCTTTTCCTCAAAAAGCGAGGCACCCTAGTGCAGTTGCATCTCTAAACAGGTTCTAGAACTCTCCTCTTTGTGTTGCTGCAGCCTCTTGCAAGGCTGCCTTTGCACCACACCCCACGTCAGGCAGGGCCTGGGACATCGTCATTAACTGTGCAGCCGAGACGCGTGCCAACCAGGACGATGCTGTCTACAAGGAGGGCATTCTTAAGCTCAGCGTGAACTGCGCCAACGAGGCAGCCACACAGCGGGTGCGGCGCTACGTGGAGCTCAGCTCAGGATGTGTGAACAGCAGCGAAAAGACGCCGCTGAAGGAGGACTGTAAGCTAGAGCCCTGGACGGGCGTGGCCCGGCAGAAGCTTAAGGTGGAGAAGGAGCTGGCAAACATGGAAGATCTCAGCTATACGGTTGTTCGCTTGCCCGTGGTCTATGGCATTGGTGATAAGCGCTACTTGAGTGAGTTGTTGTTCGTCGTCGATAGCCGATAATTGATGTAATTGTCAGGCGGGTGAAACCCGAGCTAATGACCACCCCACCACCCATCCCGGTTAATTTCGTTCACAGTGCCTCGCATTATAATCGCTGCCATTTACAAATACCTCAACGAGACAATGAAGCTGCTGTGGAACGATGCCATGCGTCTGAATACGGTGCACGTATCGGATGTGTGCGCTGCCATTTGGCAATTGGCTCAGAGCCCCAAGACCGCCGGGCAGGTGTACAATATTGTCGATGACTCAGCTTCAACGCAGGGCAGCATTAGCAACCTGTTGGTGGATATTTTCGACATAAATGTGGACTATTTTGGCATTGTCATGTCCAATTTGACAAAGGTAACTATTATTAATAAGACTGGGCAACAATATAAACGCTAAACTGGTAGAGATGAGTAAAATGAATACCAACCAGTTCCATCTGATTCTTGTATAGTATAGAAAGTTTAAGATACTTGTTTATTGAATGCACCCCCAAACAGATGAGTCAAAGTATCTACGTTTGTTATTGAACAGAATTTTAAACTTCATTATTCAGATTACGAATCTGTGTTAAAATAATGATAAACACTCTGAAATTTTATTTAAAACAAAAAAAAGCTCTGCCTATCTTAGCACAATATATGTACGCGTCATCTTATGGCTTCGGCAAGCGTCTATGGTTAGGGTTTTTGCATGTTAGCAGCCATTTTCGGGACATTCCCACTGTGTGTGTGCCGAGCACTGATTTAATTATATCATAACCTTACTCCGCATTACAGAGGGTAACCAACTGAAAGCCTACTAATTATTCATTTCGTTCTTTTGTCCCAGCTTTATCCCACGGACACTGTTGGCGAGATCAACGACAAGCATATGGCGCCCTGGGCCGAGATTTGCCAACGCAATGGCATTGACAACACCCCGCTGACACCATACCTCGATGAGGAGCAACTGCACCACAAGCACCTCTACTTGGATAACACGAAACTGAAAGACTTTGGCTATGTGCTGCAGCATCCGAAGCTCACGCGGGAGCTGCTCATGGAAATGATAAACGACTATGTGAAGCAGGAGCTGTTTCCAAAATCTTTGGTTCTCTGATACGCCGAACCACCTTTCTCTTGTGAGGTTGCACCAAGTTGACACGCACTCAGATCCGGAGTAGCTAGTAAGCAAAAATATTAGTTTTTTATAATTATACTCCTCTTCCAATTTGTATACGATACGGACACCCATGTACGCTGTGCTGTATCCCTCGGTCTTTTGCCACTAAAGTGTACTTATAGTATTATATATTATATATTTTTGATACATTCCAATCGATAAATCCATGTATACTCGTAGTTCATTATGTATATCAATGAGACTCAAAACACATCAGTTGTATTCCATTGTGATCAGCTAAGTGGCCAACTCTCCCAATTGACAATTAAACCGGCACTTGTTTAGAGTTTAGTTTTCTGTATATTTGATTATTTTAAATGTTACGGCAACGGAGCGATCGTACGATAAACGTGACTGTGACTTGACGGTACGAGACGTTGCGATACATAATTGAAAATGCAATTGCTTCACTTTTAGACGCTCGATAAACTTACAAATTAGAGAAAATCAACAATAATAAGCTCGCAACTTGTTCAACTTAATACGAAACACGGGCGAAAGTTGGTTTTGTTAAAAAGAGTAATCCCAGCGGCCAGCTCCAATTGCCGTAGAATTACGTTTCTTGCATATCGGTTTTGTGACATTTTCCTCTACATAAGACGGCGGTGCATGGAGCAGTAGCAATAGTTATGCTCTTGAGTTCTTCGATTGCTTAATTAACTAGTTAAGAGTCTGGGGGCTAATCAGCACACTCGGCTTAGAAGGCCAGGCCGGCGTCGCGGTATGTGGTGAAGATCTTCTCGATGGAGTTGACATAGGCAGCGGTTCTCAGGTCCAGTCCCAGGTTGTACTTCATGGCCGTCTTCATGATGGCGCGCGCAGAACGCTCCATGGTGTAGTCCAGACCAGAGTGGACAATGTCCTTCTCAGAGGCACCGGAGATGCGCTTCTGGAACGACTCGGAGGGGGTCACGGGGATGCGACCGCCCACGCGGCCAAAGCGACGCTCCAGGGACTCTTGCACGGATTCTGCAGGACGACAGAGTGGATTGGGGGAAACAAGAACGAACAAAGCAATTAGTCGAGAGTGCCACACATGCTTCTAGGCTAACAGATACGGATATATCACAAGAATTAATGCCACCAAAGAACTACAGAGACTGGGGTTAGAGAGATTGGTTTAAAGCATCGGATTTCTGGGTTCCAAATATTAGTTATTCTGATTCTCATGATATTGAGATGGTAATGCATACAAGAAAATTAAACAAAATATTTACGAGTACAGAACATAACAGACAAAAATGAAATCAAAGCTTCGGGACTAACTACATTAATGTGTCTGGGTTACAAATGAGCTGAAAATGTTTTCTTTTTTAGGAATGTACTTTATAAATGTGTAGGATTATTCGGTTTTGGTTTTCTTTGGGATTGATATATGGGTGGAAAGTAAACGAAAAGAATTATTAATAATAAAATGTACCGTCGTTAATGATTCTTTCAATTGACTGTTGGACTGAGGCTACAGTTGGCGATAGAGAAACGGAAAAAAGAAGAAGATAAACAACGAATTACTTAGATGATACTTCACAAAATTAAATCCTAGAGAGTTTTTGGTTTGGTTTGGTGTCGGTGGATAGGATCGAAAGGTATAGAGATAAAGGTAATCGAAATTTGGAAAAAGGAGAACCAAGTTTAAGATCTGAACCAATCTGGGAAGAGCAAATGCTGGGCAGAGCAAGCGCTATTCTTTGTCTCGGGTTTCGTATTCTCTAAATCATAGCATAATAATTAATTCCATAAACCGATTAATGAAATGGCATGAGATCAATGAGCCGAGAGAGATAGATAGAAAGAAGGATAGAAAGAGAGAGTTCTGAAATGGATATAGAACTTACCGAGCAGGTGGTAGTTGGACTCGCGCTCATACTTGAAGGTCAGGCGACCGTATGAGACATGGTTCAGGTTCTTCAGCCACTCGAAGAAGGAGACGGTGACACCACCGGCATTGATGTACAGATCGGGGATGACCAGGATGTTGCGTTCGATCAGGATCTTGTCGGCAGCAGGGGTGGTGGGGCCGTTGGCAGCCTCGGCAATGATCTAAAAGGTTAAAAGGTTAAATGTTAATTTATAGGTTTCCAGCTCCTCGAAGTTCACTTACCTTAGCTTGGATACGGTTGGCATTCTCGCTGGTGATGACCTTCTCAACGGCAGCTGGAATGAAGATGTCGCACTTCTCGAACATGAGGTTCTCGCCCTCATAGGGCTTGGCATTCTGGTAGCCCACAATGGTGCCGTGCTCGTTCTTGTAGTCCTCCAGCAGCTTGGGGTCAATACCCTCGGGGTTGAACAGGGTTCCGTCGTGCTCGATCACACCGATGCAGGTGGCGCCGGCGCGGGTCAGGTAGCGGGTGGTGTGCAGGCCCACATTACCGAAGCCCTGGACGATGAAGGTCTTGCCGCCCCAGCCGGGAGTGGTGCCTGCGAAAAAGGAGAGATTTTAAGTCATACAAATTACTTAATAAAGCTTCAGTGCCACTCACCGATCTGGCTCATGTAGTTGGCCTCGTTGATGA